CCGAACCCAAGTGTGCCAAATTTGAAGGAATTGCCTGAGAATGATCCGATTGGTTTCGACGACAGCTTGATTGAGTTTCACATGCAGGCTGGACTGGTTGACAAAGCATGGATACTGTTCGACAGTTGAGCTTGCACGAATTGTTGCCCTGAATGGTTCGCACCGGACTATCCGACGCTGCCCTTGAATGAAAGTGCACCCTCACTGCGGAGCTTGTCTGGAAAGACACTGGATGAACAAGGCAGGAAGATTGTGCAGCTTGACTGTGGTAATGGCCACTCGTTGAGTGTAGAGTTCTACGTGTGCACTGACGTAGCGTTCCCACTGGTCAGTGTTGCACGACTGTTGTTGCAAGACTTCTGGACTGTAATGGCGGAAGATTACATGGCGTTGATTGACCCGACTGGCAATCCTGTGCCGATTGTGCGACAAGGAACATTGGTGTATTTGACGCCGACTGTGATCCCTTACAGTGTCGCAAATGCGGCCAGATTGGCCGCAATGTGCTGCCAGAGGTAATGTCGGGAATTGAAGAAGAGCTTGGTGCTTTGGAATTGCGTGGAGTGTCGGACGCGCATGACTGTTCGAGTGACCACCTTTGCCACATTGGTGCCTTGATTGCTTCGAGCTCAAGGAATCAAGGTGGAAGACAAGACACCTGGGAGGTGAATGAAACTGAGTTGAAGTTGAGACGGTTCGACTGTCACTGTCAGAGATGCTAATTTTCTGACAATGACGAATACCAGGCCGCGTGATGAAAGGATTGGCGAGGACGAGTGGAATTCGGACTGACGCACAAGCCTCAGTGCAGGCATGCACAAAAGAGTGCGCCTCGTCCGCATGATCCAGTGGTTGGCAAAATGCCGTCACCGGTGAATGCTGACGTTGCTGATTGCTGAAATGGAGCAAAAGAATGAAACTGCTCCAAAGGTCCGAGCCAAGACTGGCGAAGAGCCAGGAGAGTTGGAGCACAAAGTGAGAGTGAGTCGAAATGTTGCGGAGCATGAGCTTGAGAATGCTTTGCAGTCGCTGCCTCAACATGGAGAAAATGAAGGAGTTACTGTTGCAATTGTTCAATCTCGAGGATCCCGAGATTGCAGCACCGAGGACTGCAGATAGATAGATCATCCTCCTTCGATATTGGATAAGACTGCATCATGAAATGCGTGATGGCTACTTCCATCCAGATGATGCGATTTCTCCTGTTGATGGATTGTTGAGTGATCACTTGTGGGGTGATAGGTACACAATGTTCTTTGACTCGAGTGATCCCACAATGATCGACACTGACCATCAGAACGAATGGGCAGACATCGAACTGCCTGATGGATCGGTGAAGAAATGTGAGGTCCCGCTGGACACAAGTGGACTGGACTGAGGACAGGAGTGCATTGAAGCCGAATTTGCTGAAGGTTCCTGGAGAACCCTCAGAAATGAAAGGCGATTGCACGAATTGATTCATCTCCCGTATAGGGATTGGTGTGAGCACTTCGTGAAGTCGAAGGGGCGACAGAGTCATGCAGTGAAGAAGAAGAATGACCGACAACCAGTGATCCAGCTTGATTTCTCTTTCATGTCGACTGAGAATGACCTTCCGAAGCGCCCTGTCTTGAATGCCACGGATGTCCAGACTGGATATATTCAATAGCTGTTGTACTGCCTTCGAAAGGAACTGTCGAGAAATATGGATATGGAGTTGCGGAATTGAGGAAATTTGTGTTCGAGATGAGATTGGCCGGACGTTTGGGATTGTCCATTATGACAAAGAGGCGCCGCTGAAAACAATCGTGCGTGACCTCTGCAAGGTCATTGGAGGACTGTCCACGACAGCCGCGCCGACTGGCCATGCCCTGAGTCAAGGAAGTGCTGGGAATGCCCAGCGGACTCTATATGGCCAACTGAGAACACTGTTGGAGTGAAGGTGAGCTCGGAATCACCACTGTTCACATGGAGTGTGAAGCATGCTAATGGCTCATCACTAGGTACATGATTGGAGCTGACGGCAAGACTGCCTACAGCCGTCAATGCGGTCGTGAGTACAATGGCGCATTGTGCGTGTTTGGTGAATTGATTGACGCAAAGGTCACTGCGAATGGAAGAGTGCGTGTTCCCAAGGCTGGATCTCAATGGTTCACTGGAGTGTACCTCGGAAAGGACACTGAGGGTCACTGAGGCCGATGAGGTTGTGCTTGGGAATGCCAATGGAGTCTTCAAGGTCAGGACTGTGAAGAGAAGATCCCCTTCTCAACAATGGAATGCATCGTATGTCATGAGAATGATCTCCACTCCTTGGCAGCCGCGTGGAGATGGAGTTGAATCGACTGTGTTTGTAATGCCACCAGAGCTTGGAGTGAAAGGCAGAGTGAAGCCTCCTCCTGGACTGGGGCGTGCTGGGGAAGAAGCTGAAAGGAATGTTGAGCTCGAAGACATGGTGCCTGGTCCGAGTGAAAGTGTCACTGAGCAGGATCTGCCTATTCAAGATGGCAATGACAGACCCGCTGCGGAATTGGATCATGAAGCACCTGAGGCGACTGGAGAATCGCTGAGGAAGAGTGCTAGGATTGATCCAGACGCCATCGACGAAGCAAATGAGGATCTCCGCTGTGCATTACATGATCGCCGGAGTGATTCCTGCTTGTTTTTGGCTTGCGTCGATTGTTGGAGTTGAACAAGTTGTTCGCAAGGATGGAACAAAGACTGATGTGGTGAATGCCGAGCAAGGCGAACTCGACCAAGAAATGCGACTCTCCGAGCCACTGCTTTGGGAGAGTGAGTTTCCGCCTGAGGCTGAGAAGAAAGGAATGATGAAGGAAATGAACTCAATGAAGACTTTCGAGGTGTATGATGAAGTGAAGGTTGACGACTGCACCCAAGAGCAGACTGATGGCGCCCTTGACTGTCGTTGGGTCAAGATCTGAAAGATGAATTACGGTGTAGAGTGGTTGTGAGAGGTTACCTTCAGAATGTTGAGAGAAGTGAACAGGACAACCTGTCCGCGTCCACACCTTCACTGGCTACAACGCGATTGCTTCTCTGCGTGGTGTTGGCGAGGAACTGGGGCATCACAATGGGTGATGTCGGTGATGAATGAGGAAGTGTTCGTATGACCACCAAAGGACTTCTTCCCTGCTGGGAAATGTCTATGGCGATTGAAGAAGGCAATGTATGGTCTTCGACAGGCGCCAAGACTGTGGCAGGAACACTTCGCTGCGGTAATGACGACTGAACTGGGATTTCGCAGACGCAAGAGTGATTCGAATCTCTATTGTCACGAACCTGGTCGACTGTATGTGCTTGCGTACGTTGATGACCTGTTGGTCGTAGGGACTGACGAAATGAGGAAATCGTTCATGTCTCATCTGTCGGAGGAAGTGTTGCTGAAAGAGACTGGTCAACTGGTACCAGGAAGTGAGCACACTTTCTTAGGGCGACGACTGCGACACAATGGTGACTCGATTGACGTATGGAATGAAAGATGCCAAGCCTGTGGCAACGACTGGAACGGCGACCATCAGCAAGACTGTTCCGGATACGCCACTGAGTCCTGAAGAGCACAAAGTGTACAGGACTGCGGTTGGCAAACTGCTTTGGCTAGCACTGGTTCGCTGTGATATTGCATATGCGACGAAAGAGTTGAGTCGGGATGTGACTGCACCGACGATGCAGAGTGTCGCTAAATGCAAACACCTGTCGCGCTATTTGATTGGCACGAAAATGTGTGTGCTAAGACTGCGACCGTCGGATCAACTCGCAAATGGAAACTGCGCCGTGGACATCAATGTCTATTTGGACTCTGACTGGGCTGGCTGCTCTCGCACGCGCAAGAGCACTAGCGGTTCCACTGTGAATGTCCTTGGTTGCAATGTGGTCAGCGCTGCCAGAACACAAGGAACACTGGCACTGTCCTCTGGTGAAGCAGAGTTGTATGCGATTGGTCAAGGAGTGTCTGAAGCACTGTTTGTCCGATCAATGCTGTTGGAATCAAAGCGGGCGAAAAAGGTGAATGTGATTGCGCATACCGACAGCACTGCGGGTAAATCAATGGCGACCCGCTTTGGCGCTGGAACGAAGACAAAACATGTGGAACTGCGGTTCCTATATGTCCAGAATCTGGTGCAAATGGGCCTACTGAGGATGGCTAAGATTGACGGCGCGCGGAATCCCGCGGATCTAATGACCAAGTGTGTTGCGACTGATGTGTTGCAGCGACCGAAGACACATATTGTGTCATATTGGTTCAAGGATCTCACCACTGATGCTGATGCTCATGATACTGATGATCATGTTGCTCCTGTGGTGAATGCTCAATGGCCTCCTCCTCCCCCTCGACCACCGCCCTACTGGGAATGGCCTGCGCACCCTCCCCTGCCCGCCCTCGCGCGCGTCCCGAACGCACCCACTGTGCGCAATGCTTCTCTGGACGCCGTTGGACTGAAGTCCACGTCGAGGGACTGTGTAGGTGAGCTGCGGTGAGTGCATTGCATTGCATGTTCTGACTGCACATGTCACACTGCTGTTCTGTCTAGTGTAAAGGGAATGCAGCGGCTTCTTGTCATGACTGCATGTGCAATGTTCACTTGTCTTGTCATGGCGGCATGTGCGAATGTTTCAATGTTGCCCGAAAACAACAAAACCAAAGAAAGAGAGAGTTGAGAGAATGAGAGAATTGTCCCCGAAATGTTTTCTCCGATTGTTTTCTGTCCCGAAGGGACTGTGCCGAAATTTGGCCGATTAGGCAGGAATTTGGCAAAGATTTGGCTGGAATTTGGCAGAGATTTGCAGGATTTTGGCAATTTGCCGAAATGTGGCCGATTGTTTCCGCCGTTTGAGTGCAAGTGAGTTGCATGTACAGAGTGCACTGCAAGGGACTGCTTTAAGCCTTGTATTGCCGACTGAGATCAATGTGTTTACCCCGAAATGTTTTTTTGTTGAATGTTCCTTAGTGACATCGACTGTCTGAAGTGCCGACTGCTTCCTTCGCTCGCTCGACTGTAGCAGCAATGGCCCCTAAGACTGCCGACCCGAAGAGTGCAGTCTTTGAGCGAGTGAGAATGGAGCCACTGCCGGAGCACATGTATGAGGAGGTGATTGATATGGCCGCTCTGAGTGATCTCACTGAGGCTGAGGTCCGTCGGACTGGAGTGCAAAGCAACCTGGTTGCACTGCACCTCCAGGAGAATGTCCCGGAGAATCGCCAGCACTTGCATTGACTGGCGCAGGGACTGACCATGATCCGCCCGACTGCGGACCCGCCAATGGCGAATGCTTCTGCAACTGGACCTGCGGCGATTGATGCTGCTCTTGGCATCACTGTCAGGAATGGCGCTGAGGAGCCTGCGTCTGCTCGGGCAGCGGACGCAGCACCTGCAGCGAATGAATCGGTGCCGGGTGCTCCTGTGCCGAGTGAGCCGAATGCTGCCGTGAATGCGGTGCCTTGGGAGGCCCGCCACCTAGTGGATGAGACAATGGTGCAGCACAGGCTCAGCAGGCGTGGTCCTGTGACTGTGGAAATGTCTGCCGCTCTGACTGCGATGGACTCTGGAGTTGAGCTCGCCCGAGTGTGGAATGAGCTTGACAGCTACATCACCACTGTCGTGGAGAATGACCGCCAGAGTGCATTGAAAAAAAAAATGTCCAATGGGCAAACCAAACCGTCTTCGAGGAGAGTGAGAATGACGAGCCACTTGTGTTCGTGGTGTTCCGCCGAAATAGGAGTACCGCAATGAGGCACTGGGTTGCTGGAGGAACTGGCGGCAATGCCCGAATGAAACTGGCGAGTTATTTTAATCGCCAATTCACTGACCATATCAGCACCTTTGAATGGGATGGAAATGGTCATGGTCCCAATGACTGGAGATGGACAATCAATGGAGGCACTGTCCCACGCGAGTGCCGGAATTGTCCGTGTGCCAATGACGGACCCAATGTGTGTGCGCAGCCCCAAACTGCTGCTGTCCTTGAATGAGATCATCGAGTGGGGAATGCTTGCCACCAACCGCGGCGACTCCCTGCTGGAATGGAGGCTGACGGGGCGCACAATGGTGCCACTGTGCCAAAGCATCGGCACAGGATTGGAGCACGATTGTTCCACATGGGATGAGATCTGCGAGAATGAGGAGCATGTGGCAGCCACTGCTTGGAATGCTTGCAAGGGCAAGGCGAATGAGCAGGCCGTTGGGAATGCCCGCGAACAAACTGCGAATGCCCTCGAGCCCAGCTCCGAGATTGTCCTGCGCAAGAACGCGAAGGGCACTGTGAAATGAATGCACTGAGCAGCCGATCTAATTTGGGAGTGCCTTGTGACTGCAATTGTTTAGCAATGTGAAGTTCTTTCTGAAATGTTGAATGGATTTCTTAATTGGTTTGCTGAGAATGAAGTTCTCGGATTCAACCGAGTGTAGCATGAGCCGACTGTCTGCAATGATCACTTTGTGCAGTGCAAACTGGCCTCCGAATGCCTTTTCTTTCGGACTCGAATGTCATCACTGAGTCGAGCCAAAAGTCCGGAATGAGGCCAATGATCCTTTCGTTGTTTTGCTTGTTAATTGTCTTGAATGCTTCTTTGATCGTTTCGCGAATGCCACTGCCTATGCTCGTTATGATTTTCGATGAAGTCAAGGACTGTGTTAAATGACACGAGCCTAATTTCGCACCTTAATGTCATGATTCTGAATGCTACAATGGCATTGGCTCAAGACTGGACCAAGGCTTGACGTCACAAAGGAATGTCTGCTTGAGTGTGGCTGGGGAAAGTGATTGATCTTGGTGTCCCAGTAATCCTAAATTGCACTGTTGAATTTTTCCCTCCCTCCCTCCCTCCTTCTCTCTCTCTCTCTCTCTCTCTCTCTCTCTCTCTCTGTGTCGAAAACAGGTTCGGTTCAGGTTTTTTTGGGTTTGAACAGGTTATAGGGCTAAAGGAGCCTCCTGGAAAAGCATGGCAAGCCCTGTTCACGAATAGGTTGACGTGACAGGGAGCTAAAACATAAAAATGCAGCGGTAAGATTCTGGCCTGGAGTCGTATATCTCTGAAGATGTATACGCACATACACACAGGCATTGAGCCACTTGAGCAATGTTTGCATTTCCGTCTTTGGACGGAAGTCTACAGCTGGGCACAAAACATTCTTTCGATCCACAAATCTCTCCGGGACTGTGTCCTCGGCCGGACGCGAAAGGGGGTTTTGCGTTCTAGGGATTGAAACATCATGAGGAACAAAGCTCAAATAAATGTGTATGCGCGTGCCACAATTTTTATGACCATGTTGCCGTGAAATAGAAAGATACAGTCTGCAATGATGAAGAAGATCAGAAACGGTCCTATTCAACAACCCGGACCTCGACACAACGATCCGGGACTCCAATTTGGAGAGCGCGCAAAGCTGGAACACATTCGCCTGGACTTGGCCTCCAGAACAGGATTTCATTGACATCAATTTGCCCGACAAAGAGGGCAAAACACCGCTGATGGTCGACTTCTCAGAAGGAAGGGAATCCTCCAGACACCACTTGACCACCGCGGTTTAGAATTTGCTGTTGCGTAGAATGCTGCTTGATCTACTGGTGTGACGGAATTTCAGGTTGCTGCCAAGAATGGTCATGCCAAGGCCACCTGCTTCTCACCTTAGACTTGCCAGCTGAGCAGTTTTCGCAATCGCCGGTTCTCGGACTCGGAGGTGCTTTCAGCACTGCTGCGAGCTGGAGCCGACATCGGCCTCGTTGACAAAACTGTGAAGGACACCACTTGCGGCAATTGGCAGCTTGAAGTGAAGCCAAAGATGCAGGACAAGAGAATAACCGCAGTGGACTATGCCAGGGGATGGCTTCGGACCCAATCGAACTCAAAGAACAAGAGTGTTTTGTTTGTACTGTTTGTGTCTGACATAACCAGGCACTGCCAGGCACGCCGATGCACTCTGGTTTCGAGCATGAGTGCGAATGTATCTGAGACATCTAAGATCTACATAGATCAACGATCTTGACAGACCTATTTGGTGTAAAGCATTGCTCTCGACTTTTGGAGTTTCAGCTTCTGTGTCATGGCCAGTGCTTTCAAGCAGCGCGCCATCGCCGCAACGTGGGCAGCTGCCGGTGCTGCCGGGTGCGGAGTTGCTTACACACAGCATCGGAAGTTCGAACAGCGCCTTCCCTGTGTCCAGCTTGCGCTGAGGAAGCTCGAGGATCCGTCGATAAACGCAGGTCTCGGAAGCCAACTTCAATTGAGCGCTTGGCCACGCCGTGGATGCGTTGACAAAAATGCTGGTTTGATGCGTGCACACTTCAGGGTGCAGAGTTCCGACGGCGATGTTGCAGATGTCCTGGTTTCAGCTATACGCGACAAGACAACTCACGAGGCGTCGGAGCCAAGGGAAGAGGATGATGATGCAGAGGAGCATTCCAACTACTGGTTTCGCCCTTGGGAGCTAAAGAAAGCTATCTTGCAAAGGGTGCGGCTTCTGCGACAAGGGTTTTTCAGCGGCGAAGAGGAGTTGCAGACCGCATCGATGTGGAAGCTTGAAACACTGGTTGTTCTTGGGACGGGGAGCGAGACTTCAGGGCGGATTCCCCATGTGCTGCAGGGAGACCCATCTGGATTACCAGAGTATGAAACCATGTGTGTCCGGCGCGATGTCACCTCCAAGAGTGATCGGTCAAGGACCAATTTGAAGATAGCGCTCTGCTTGTCTGTCCTTGGAACCCTCGTTGCAGCGGGTAGCCGAATGCTGAGATCCCTTCGAATATCGCAGAGTTACGGCTTTGTCAGGAAGTCTGTTTTAGAAAATCGCAGCGTGCAAGCAGTCCTTGGGCCTTCGCAGATTGAGTCATGTACTGGCAAGTTCACGCCCACCTTCATCGATGCACGTTTGCGGTTAGTAGGTTCCAGTGGAACCATTGCAGATGTGGTTGTGGCTGCCTCGCGAGACTCTTCACATCAACTGTGGCATGTTGCTGTTGCTCGCATGACTGTAGGCGGCGTGGCATGTAACCTTGACCTGCCAGCCCGCTGAAAGTGGTGCTGCAGTGGACAGATGAACGAACTCCCACGAAAGCAGGTGCAGCGCGAAAAGGAGGAGACGCACCACTGTCCATTCAGACATGCCTCGTGCCATCAAGGCCTCATCAACTTGGCAACGAAAGACGCGATGATTGCGTGGAGATCCTCACAGAGTTTCTGAGGACACGGTCTATCGACTCTTTCATCCGTTGACAAGCCTTGGGCTCCGTGCGCCGCCAGGACCGGGCAGGTGCCGGAAGCCCTTTCTGTCCCTGAAGCATAGATACATGGACAAGCAGTGGTATGCGCCATGACATGCAATGGCAGAACAACGGACTGACAGTGCTAAACACGAGAGCCCGCTTCCAACCGCAATGGCATGAGAAATGTCGAAAGCCTGCATGGCATGAAAAAGCTGGCTGCTCGTGTTGCTATCTTAAATCTCCTTGAGGGTCGCTGCAAGCGCTGGTAGAAGTGGTCTAGACTGTCTTACAGTTTCTCTCTTTGGCTCAACTTGTGAGCTTTTCTACCCGTTTTCCTGTTTCTGTGGTGAAGACGATGGGCAGGCCGGTCGATATGATTTCACTCATACTGGTACATCTTAGACACATAACCTCTGAACTCTGTCTAAGAAATTTTCTTGTGTTTGATCCGAAGCTGTAGCTGCGCGCTATCCGCAACTCAACTGGTACGAGAGCTTCTCAGCAGTTCATAAGCTGTTTTAGTTTTCTTCAAGAGGCATGTCCAAGACATCGCGGAGCAGAGGGGCAACACTTCTTGATCGGGAGGATTTGACCGGATCCAACACGACATAGTGTCTACTGCTCTGGCACTTAAGGGTTTCTCCACGCTCTGTTGATGTCCTCAGAAACTATGACAAGCACCCGGGGTTCCATGTAGGGGATAAGTAGAGCACATCCATCATCAAAGTTCAGTTCGACAGGATTGCTGAATCACAATGTTCGTTTGCTTTGGTCATGAATGTTAACGGCCATGACTTGGCATGAATATCGCTGCGAGAATCCGAATCGAGCTTTGACATTGGCAGAATGCAATTACTCTGACAACAAACTGGTAATGTCTTGTAGTCACACCATGCACGCAAGCCTTTTTGCACAAACTTTTTGCACGACATAGACAAGGTATCAGCCGCATCTAGGCCAGCATTGACCAAAGAAAAGTGTCTTTTTCTGATTTGTTCTGCAATGAACGGTAAAGCAGTCGTTGAGCTTGCAGATGGCGCACGCTTGACGAAGGTAAACGAGGCAAGCAGTTTCGGACATCATATCATCAAGAACTCTGTTTATCGGGCTAGAGGAGGAAATTTTAATACACGCCATGCCGAAAACATCCGAGACTCTCCAGCTGCCAGGCTTACAGAGATTCTGGGAATGGCTACCACTCGTGCAAACAAAGCAATGAGAAAGGCAATAATCAACTCTGAGACTCCGGGGTCGGACCCGATACAATGTAACTCTTTTCCGACAGTGTTGACGGACAGTCTTACGCAGCTGGCCCTTTTGCAGGCGGACTTCCTGCGTTGCTAAGGAGAGTGGGAGACACGGCCAAAATGGTAGCTCCGCACGAATAAGTTCGGTTGCAAATCGTACACGTCTCGTCCCTTTGCTGCGTATGCCAAGGCAAGCAGGCAACAGCATTGCGCATTATGAGGATGCGGTAAACGGATTTTGTGCAAACTATCTGGACCTTCGTGTCGATGAGGGCAAGAGACTCTGGCCAAAAACGGCAGTTGGTCAGAATGCGACGTCGTCGTCGTTCGTTGACTTGCCGCTGTAGACAACCCGCTTCAACATGTTCACGATCCGCGTTTTGTTGCATGCATGGCTTGTTGAACATTCCGACAATTTTGAAGCAAAGGACTTGTTTGTTCGACAGCTTAATTTTTTGGCGTGCTTTTTGCAGGGGCGCCGCATGGCGAAAGGCAGGAAGGAAATTAGGAGGATCAAAGAAGGAAGGAGCAACAAAGAACGATTAAGACATAAATGTCTTTCAGCGAGAGAGTGGCTTGAAGGAAGGAGGGAAGGAAGCAAGAAAGGAAGGGAGAAAGACATCTAGGAAAGAAGCAAGAAAGGTGTGGTCTTGGTACTGCAGGCATAAACGAACAATCGCAATGATGTGAACTGATCGACTCGCATGGCTGCTCTGTTGTTCTGGCTCTAGCAGTTGTCCTCATGGCCAGGTGATTGATGTTTCCGAGTGGCAGTGAATGATAAGGATGTTGTGACTTGCCATGACACTGCCATGTTGTGCTGTGGCCGCCAATGCATGACTTGGAGGCTGGATCTAATTCATCAATCCATAATCGCTGCTGACAGAAGGATTTGCAAAAATTGAACACTCTTCTGCTGCTAGGGAGAGTTTCTCCGTTTTGCTGTCAGCGTAGAATTATAGAAGTTTTAAGCTGAGATATGGGTTTCAAGGAGCGGAGTTCAGAGGATGCTAGGCGCTGCCGTCCGGCGAGGGTGCAGAGGAATGTCGGGTTGTCTTGTGGGCATTGAGGGCTTGTTAGTCAACCTATCATTCCTCGTTTGTCAGTCGGGCTCAGAGATGCGTGGCAGCTCCTTATACTCGGTGTCGCTGTTGACCACGTTACACCGCACTCACACATCCTGCGTCGTGCATGTCTAGCTGTAGAAATCATGGGCCCAAAGCAAAGCAACAACTGCACTCCAAAAATCTCAACGACCTGGTTCATTGCACGGTTGGTACAGCTTGAATAAGATGTGCACACGAGAAGGGGAAGCCTACATATAGAGCCACTCTCACGAGAGTAATGGGCTGGCAAAGGGGAAGCTCTTTGATGGCAAACCTGTTTCAGGCGGCTGCTGCCATTTGCAAACTGGGAGGTCCTGTCCCTGCCTCGCAGCTGCAGTGGATCGTGACGCGCAGTGAAGTCTATCGCGGTGTCTACACGGGGCCTTCGTTGCTCTTCAGCCGGCTTGTGGTTGTATGCGGTCGACACGGCTTGGCCCAGGATGCATTGCACCTTCACCTGGAAAATCGGCTTGTAGCAGCCCGGGCAGCCCAAGAAGCAGCTCAGAGCGCATTTACTGCAGGCCATTCTTGGCTGCGCTAATGTGAGCAAAGTTTGGAAAAGCACTGCTGGTGCTTCTGGTGAAATTGCTTTCCGCATTCATGTGTTCATTGCGTGCAGAAGGGGTGGACAGCTGCATGTTGTCTCGGTACGCGCTTATCGCCTGACAATCTGCAGAGCATGCACCACTGATCACCAGTGCCGAAGAAGCTCTATTCACTAGGCTTTAGTATATATAGACCCAGTGCCGTCCGCTGTTCATGTGGGCTGCCTCGAAGAGACAGAAATGATTTCAGGTATTACGCTCGTAATGTGCAAACCATAACGGCAAGAGTACGTCAACCGTCAAGCCAGGGAACGTCACGACTCAATCCGCAGGATATCTTCTTCAGCAGCCATGGTTGTCCTTTCTGGTCAAGCTTGTCTGCGACCAGGACAGTTGTCTTTTGCATGGATCTTCAGGTGCGGGGAAGGACTCCCAAAGTCTGGGAGCCTGCAAAATGCCATCCGAAGTCGCCGAAGTAGGAGGCAGTGCCAGGGAAAGCTGCAGCATTCTACTCCGCCGTAATATGCAGGATGATGAAGATGAGGGAGGCAAGAACTGCCGAGAAGTGTTTTGGATCGGCAGGCGTCCACGTGCGCTCACCAGCCCTATTCTCGGGGTCCGCCTGCTCGTTTGGCCTGCGCGAAAGGGTTTCAACGGCTCTCCAGTGCGCACACCGGTTGCAAGGGCTCCAAATGTACACCTGCACAAGCTACAGACAACTACATTGCAGAACAACTGAAAAATCAGCAACCCTCGATTCAGACTCGATTCAAGGAAACTGAATGCGGCTGCGTGCGCATCAGAAACTGCGCATCGGAAACCATCGGAAACTGCGCAGGGAAACCGATGATAACGTTTATGCTCTCTGTGCTACCAATGCAGGCAGAATCAGGAGCATCCACGCCAATCCCGAGAGCATCCATGCCCGAACGAACGATGATAACGTCCATGCCAGCATCTTTTCTTGTTTACGAATGGCCCGTTGTTCCCGAATCACCCATTCACCTGATCTTGGTTTCCGAATTGGCTGTTCTGGTTTCCCATTCATGTGTGCCGCTCCACTGAGAAGCCGGCTGTTAACGGCTCCGGCAACAGTCGGATAATTTTAGCTCCCTGTCCTGCTGAGTTCAGGGCTCGGGCGGAAGTTGGAAGGGACTTCAACCTTCGTTTGCCGACACAGTGGCCAATCTTTCTCGAGGCCTTGTTGGCCGAGGCTGCTTTTCCTAGATTCGCCGCCCGTAGTCAGCGAGTGCCACGCCGTGGTCTAGACTTGCTCGATGCTGCGCCGCTTCGCGAACGACACCAGCAACGGAGCATCCGAAACCGTGGAGACGCACCTCTAGAAAGCTCGCGTCGCGAGGCCGCCAGGTGTGGATCTGCCAAGCTCTGAAAAAGAAGAAGCATGAAGAAGCCAAGCGCAAGCTCGACTTCGATGGCGCTCAGAGCCGGCAACGCGGCGCACGACACAATTTACATTGGAACATGGTTCCGGCCTTTGCCAACCTGATAAAGTCCAGCGAAAAAGGTCGGCCCATGCAGCCCAGTACGCGGATGTACGGAGCAGCAGCGAAGCGTTCGGAATACTGTAGCCCTTCTCCGCTCATTCGATATGTGCCGGATCATGCCGGTAATAGTGCAGGCGCCGTGTGGCAGCGACTTCCGGATCTTGGTCGTCTGGGCGAGCTCGCGCAGGCACTCCAAATTGCATCGTTCTGGCCACGGGCGTGAACGCAAAGAGGTCGGGCAGCGAACATGGTGAGAATGAGCCACGTGCAGTGCATGTCCGGCAGCAGGGGATTTCCCTCCAGCCCTCAAGTGCGTGTCAACGTGCGACATCGCGCCACGCGACGTAGGCAGTGGCCGATGGGCACGCAGAGCCACAGACCCCCGCTCGGCTTCGGGGGAGTCCCCGGTCCAGACTCGGCAAGCTCAGCGATGCCAGGAGGTGCGGGACCACTGGCGAGTTACAAAGGCACATTTTGCCGAGGTTAGGCGCATGAGATTGTGTCGCTGTGTCCGCTTTCTTTCCATCGGCGAGACCGGTTGTTTCGGTGTGCGGGGAGCCAGGCGGTGGCGAAGCTCGGCCACGACAGCGGCTCCTTCCCTGCACGTTCCAGCCACGCCGTGCTCCAGCCCCCGCTTCAGAACGTAGCAGGTCGCTTGTTTCTGGTGTGGTGAGCTGGTTGAGGCTCAAAGGGGGACACGCACAGGCGTGCACGGCAGGATTTGAAGCGGGGACCCGTACGCACACACCCAGCCACTGGCGGCCCATGGGCAGGGCACACAGGTCGGTCGGGCATGTCTTGCTGGTGCGAGCCATCAACTGTTGTGTTGCCACGAAGGCAGGTCCATTCAGGAAGCCACCCATTATTCTGTCTGCAGTGAACACGTGCCCAATGCTTGTGGGCAGTGGTCAAATTACGTTGTCGCGGAGTTTATACAAAACAACCTTTTCGGATTGTTCGGGTCTGATTTTTTATTTACAACAAGTGGCGTCACGCAACCAGGGCTTCTTAATACCGTTTCGTGTTTTTGTTCACGTATGTTTTAGAAGGCATGTGAATCTGTAGCACATCGCAGCACTGGCTCTAGCACTTGAGTTTTCTCGTATATGCCAGCCGGACTGCCCAATAGAGCTTTGCCTTCTTCTAGGGGGATTCCTGCTCGCCCTGCACGGTGGATTGCGATTCGGGGATCTCCAGCGCATCAGCCTTAAGAGCCTCTCTCTTACAGGACACAGCCTTAGAGCGGTTTGTTGGCATACGAAAACCACCAAAAGAGGTCAGCCATTTGCGGTTCGTCTCCATGGGATCTCCGGCCGAGACCCGGCTAGCCTCTGGGTTCTGCCCGTCCTTAGAGCCGTCCAAACGGTATGGGAACGCACAGAGGAGATCTACGGCACACTCAACTGCCAAGACTTCATACTGCCCACCCTGCACAACCTACGGGGCTTCCCAGGCAAGCCAGCAGCAGCCTACCACCAGCCTATGTCCTACAGCCAAGCGCTAGGGTGCCTGGGCTTCTTCATGTGCCGCAGGCATCTGGAAGGCAACTCCCCGGAGCTACTCACACCAGAAGAAGCGTCCGCGTTCACTATGCACAGCCTTAAGGTCTGTCTGCTCAGCGCCGGTGCACAGATTCAAGCCGCCGATAAAATACGCCAACAGCAAGGCCACCACAAAAACCCTAGCGTACAGCTTTACGGGAGAGACGATACCCTCGGAGCCTTAGCCCTACAAACTGAAATTACCCAAGCATGTGCCTTAGGGTGGAGGCCCACGCGCCCCATTGCCAGGGGAGGACAGCACCCGACAGTGGAGCCGCCTTTCGAAGTTAGCCCGTCTTCGCCGCCCAAGGCCTTCCAGCTCTCGGCCCTCGGGAAGGGTCTCGACAGATTTGTTTACTCACGTGAAGCAGAACTGGAGCAAGCCTGCTTTGACACCCAGCCAGCCGTTGCGGACAGCGCCGATCCTCCGCCTGTGGTAATCACTGCACAATCCGAGCAAGAGACCTCCGCAGCCAGCAGCCTTCCACCGACTATACCTGCAGACGACATCGAAGCCCTGCTAGTGGAGAGCTTTGCGTTCACGCAAGCCGACTCTTCCGACTCGGAAGACCAAGCTGCCCCACAGACAGTGGAGGACATAGCCTTGTTCCAGAATGGCCCCTGGGGCTCCGTTCATGCTCAGCCGTTGGGAGCCGACATGAGCCGACAAAGCGGTCTGCGGGACGCCCCGCTCCACGGCCGCTTTTTGCCCCACATGTCCCAACACAGCCTTTTTCTGCCGCAGAGCGGCTTGCCGACGCCTGCTGGACGCACTGCCTTAAGGAAAACGAAAGTGTGGCGCTTTGCTCTCTGCCGGGTCAGCCTGATCACTTGCCATGCCTTCTTACCGCAGCCATTTAGGCTTACCTGCCTCAGTGGCCCCTAAGTTTTCCGCAGGGATGGCGCTCTTTGAGCAGTCCGACCTCGCAGCCTTCCTGCAGGCGCAGGGGGTGCACGAAGTAGTCTGCAATGGCCTCGCCCTCAAGGCGCTGGAGACCGTTGAGGACCTGGCATTTGCCTACCCAGACCTCACTAGCTTTGACACTTTCTTGCAAGGCCTCTCTGAGTCCGACCTCAGTGATATGGGGGTCTCGGATACACTGCATTCGGTCCAGGCAGCCCGAGCCAGGAAAGCCTTGCGCTCTGCGCACAAAGCACAGGAGGGACCTCAGCCTTCACCTGCGTTGCCATCCCTCCCAGCAGCCCTAGCCCCTTCTGCCTCACCATCCTCCTGGATGGAGCATTTGCCGCCTAAGCTCAGCTCGGAGGTCGTTCAGGATCTGGTCACGACCTTTAAAGCCAACTATCCGGGAGAGCTCCTGGACGACGATACGATGCCGTCAATACGCCTTCTCAGCCTTGTGCAACACAGCCTTCAGCCAGGAGAAAAGCTTAAGTGGATACCATGGCAGCTTCGCCTTAGCTCCAAGCAATACTCCGAAATTATGGAGGCCAAGTCATCTAAGCCTATGAGGACGGAGGCTCAGCTACTCGCCTCAGCCATATATGACGACACACCTGAGATGGCCGTCTCCCATCTCCGCCTTTCCGTGTCCTGGCTACAGCGCATCCAAACGGTGTTCAGAAACGCTTGGGCACTGTGTGGGGCAGCTCACCTCAACAACCTCAAAGCCTTCGACAAGCGAGCCGAACACTTAGCCTTGCCAGACCTAGCCGACTCCTCCCTCAGGGGACCAACAACGCAGGAGCTCTTGGCAGCTGCTCGGAAGATTTGGAACACCATTTCTAGCCTTGCTGCCTCCGGCTGGAGCCTCGACGAAGCCTTGTATGAGGTCACCAGCATTCGCAGTGACCTCGCCAACCTGCTTCAGCCAAGACCGCGGCCGCCGCCGATACCGCCGGGTCCTAACCGCCGTCCCAATGGAGGAAACCCCCCCCCCCCCAAGCAAAAGAATCCGCCTTAACACGCCAACCACCGAAAAAGGTGGCAAGGGCAAGGGCCGCGGCAAAGGCCTTCAGAAGCCGGATAGCCCATCCAAGTCTGACTCATGGCCCTCTAACTGGGTGTTGAAAGCCAAGGGCAAAGTCCTCTGTAAGCGTTACCAGAGAAATCTCTGCGCCTTGCCCAATTGCAAATTCGCCCACCTCTGCGCGGTCCGGGGATGCGGCAAGGAGCACTGTGCCGTCGACCACGACAAGAAGCCTTCGTGACTAGGCCATGCAGCAGAGTCTCAGCCCGGCCAGCAATATCAGCCACCTCCCAGACCGATACCCGAAGCCTCACAAGTTGCAGCCATGGAGCAGCCTCAGCTACCCGAGAGCCTACTACAGGACTCGCAGCCGACATCCCAAGCCGCAGAACAACATCAGAAGCTTCAGCC